GTACAGTATATAAATGTACCATTATTTAAATGATTACAAAAATTATCAGGGTCCTTTGAATTAATTGATCTAAAAAAATTAATAATAATTAATGAAATAAAAAAGAGAAATAAATTCAATTTTCAAAACGTGTAACCAAAAAATTTTGAGGTTCATTCATCCAATAGAATTTAAAAGAATCCTTATAAAATTTCAATTTCTCCACAACTTCGATCTAGATATAAAATAAAAGATACTAGTAGTATATAACATGTGCCAATATTTAAATAATTTTTTAAATTATTGGGATCTGTTAAATTAATTGATCCAAACAATTTAGCAATAATTATTGTAATATTCGAGATTGAAATATTACGAATACAAGGTCACCAAGAAAAGTAACACAATTTGCAACAACTAAAACAAATTGTAGGAAATTAAAAGAACAAATACTACCCGTAAACCAACCAAATCTGGGAGCGATCACATAAATCAACTAGATGACACCTACTATACACTTGAGAGCACAATTATGAGCAACTCTTCGCATGAAAACCATGTGGCACCTTAATTTGTCACCGCCTCAACCAACTTTGAACTCCCATGCCAACACCCCTACAAGTAGCTACACCCTTTTCTCATTAATCTCATATTCATCTCAATCACTTAACAGGTACTTCAACACTTTTCATCTACTCTAAATGTGCAAAGCAATTCTTATAGCGCTCTTTGAGGTAATTAGTTACTAAAGTAATAGTTTCTCATTTTTCTTTTTTGTTGCAGCTTTACGTCTCACTCTCGGATTAATTCCATTAACGACTCATTCAAGTAATCACTCCATGTGAGAACTACTTCACCTTCATGCTATATTTGTTCATTTGTGTGATTGATTAATGTATTCACTCATTTGTTCGAGCCGAATGAATACTTCTACTTCAATAGGAAATTGTTTGAATTCCAAAAGTAACTTCGGTATTCAGTTTTAAAATTAAGCCGGCTTGTCTTTTTAGCAGTTAATGTGGTCATCGAAGGAAACAGAGTGAAGAACTTAAAACATTAATTCAATGGAAATAAGTTTTAAAAAAGAATCTGTTTAAATTCCCAAATTAACTATGTTATTTAATTTTAAAATAAAGTCAATTCGTCTTTGTAGCAGTTAATGTGGTCATTGGAGGAAATAGATCGAAACCAGTGAGGAGCTTAAATCCCTAATTCAATCGAATCTAGGAGTGACATTGAGGCCTTGCGAATGATTGTGTAGAGATGGGTTGAATCAAAGTTCTGATGATAAAACCCTAGAACAAGCCTATAAAGATTTACATTAAATGAAAAATGTTCCAATCTTATCACATATATTCAGATCTAGAGAAAAGTTAGTTTGGAGCATAAACATATCATATCAGAAAGATTCAGACTAGAAAAAGTTTAATTCAAAAAAGAAAAAACATATCAAATCGTATTATATCTTCACAAATCCATATAAGAATCATTCATAAAAAACCAATTGAACACCTTGTGACTAATTTTATGTATTTACTTAAAATTTGGCAGAAATATCGTTTACAAGCATATGAAATTTCTAACTTTTCACTAAATTTAAAGAAACTTAAACAAAGTATTCATTTTAAAATTAAATCTTTAATATTCCGATCTTCGAATATTCGAATAACCCGTTCTTCACATTTTCAAATCTTCAAAACTTCAAATCTTTGTCTTAGAATATTTAAATATTCATCTTTGATTTTTGAATGTTTAGACCTTTGATCTTCAAATTTTCTTAAAACTTAGTTGAATCCACTCATATAGTATAGGTAAAATTTGGGATTGCAAATTTATTACCTCATGAATATCCAGGTCGTTATTTAAATTATTATCTAAATTATTGATATCCTTAAAAGTAATTGATCTAAAACGATTTAGGAATAGTTATTAATTGATAATTTAAGTTAATATATGAAAACTAAATAGAGTAATAAATTCAATTCATTTGCTAAAACGGGTAACCAGTAGATTCGAGATCTTTCCTATAGCATTTAATAGAGGTCCATATTAAAAAATATAACTCCTACACAGCTTTTAGAATCATTGTATCAAAATATATATAAGACGATATATAACATGTGCCGTTATTAATGATTATTGAAATTATTTGGATTCTTTAAATAAATTAACAAAAAAATTCGAAGTATTTATTGGAACCAAATTTTTTAATAGATTCAGTCATTGCACCAAATGGTAGCCATTAAATCTTGTGATTGATTTAATAGCATTTAAAAAGGTTTTGTTGAATTTCACATCTTGTAGATATAAATATATAAGAGAATATGTATATGTGCAATTTTTAAAAGGATTATCTAAATTATTGAGATGCTTTAAATTAATTGATCCAACATAATTTACGAATACGTATTGAACCAATGCAAATGTAGTAATGAGTTCAATACATTGCCCAAAACATGTAGCCAATAAAATTTGAGATTGGACTTATAGCATTTAAAAGAGGTCCATAAATAACAATTTTATTTCTACATAGGTTCTTAATAATGAAAATATATAGTACTACATACAATATATAACATGTACCATTATTTAAATGATTACAAAAATTATCGGGATCCTTTGAATTAATTGATCTAAAAAAAATTAATGATAATTAATGAAATCAAAAGGAGAAATAAATTCAATTCTCAAAACGTGTAACCAAAATTTTTTGAGGTTCATCCAATAGAATTTAAAACAATCCATATTAAAATTTCAATTTCTACACAACTTTTAGATTTAAAATAAAAGATACTAGTAGTACATAATATGTGCCAATACTTAAATAATTTTCTAAATTATTGGGATTTTTTAAATTAATTGATCCAAAATAATTTAGCAATAATTCTAGTAATCGAATGTAATAAGAATATCAAATTTTCCCAAAACGGTTAGCCAATAATATTTGAGATTGCACCAATTGCATATCAAAGTGGTCCATATTAAAATTTTAGTTCCTACACAACTTCTAGATATAAAAATACAAGTGCTACCAAGGTTACCAGCCAAGAAAAGTAACACAATTTGCAACAATTAAAAAAAATGTAGCAAATTAAAAGAACAAATACTACACGTAAAGGAACCAGATCTGGGAGAGATCACATAAATCAACTAGATGACACCTACTATACACTTGAGAGCACAATTATGAGCAACTCTTCACATGAACACCACGTGGCACCTTAATATGTCACCGCCTCAGCCAACTTTGAACTCTCATGCCAACACTCCTATAAGTAGCTACACCCTTTTCTCATTAATTTCATATTCATCTCAATCACTTAGCATGTACTTAAAAACTTTTCATCTACTCTAAATGTGCAAAGCAATTCTTAGAGCGCTCTTTGAGGTAATTAGTTACTAAAGTAATAGCTTCTCATTTTTCTTTTTTGTTGCAGCTTTACGTCTCACTTTCAGTTTATTCCACTAACGACTCATTCAAGTAATCACTCTATGTGAGAATTACTTAACCTTCATGCTAGATTTGTTCATTTGTGTGATTGATTAATGTATTCACTCATCTGTTCGAGCCGAATGAATACTTCTACTTCAATAGGAAATCATTTAAATTCCCAAATTAACTATTGTATTCAGTTTTGAAATTAAGTCGGTTTGTCTTTGTAGTAGTTAATGTGGTCATCGAAGGAAACAGAGTGAATAACTTAAAACATTAATTCAATCGAAATAAGGTTTAAAAAAGAAATCGTCTAAATTCCCAAATTAACTATGGTATTCAATTTTAAAATAAAGTCAATTTGTCTTTGTAGAAGTAAATGTGGTCATTGGAGGAAATAGAAACCAGTGAAGAGCTTAAATCCCTAATTCAATGAAATCTAGCGGTGACATTGAAGCCTTGGGAATGATTGTGTGGATGAGTTGAATCAAAGGTCTGATGATAAAACCCTAGAACAAGCATATAAAGATTTACATTAAATGAAAAATGTTCCAATCTTATCACATATATTGAGATCTAGAGAAAAGTAAGTTTGGAGCATAAGCATATCATATCAAGAAAGATTCAGACTAGAAAAGTTTAGTTCAAAAAAGAAAAAACATATCAAATCGCATTATATCTTCACGAATCCATATAAGAAACATTCATACAAAACCAATTGAAAACCCCGTGACAATAATTTTACGTATTTGCTTAAAATTTAGCAGAAATATCGTGTACAAACATATGAATTTCTAACTTTTAATTAATTTAAAGAAACTTAAATAAAGTATTTATTTTAAAATTAAATCTTTAATCTTCCGATCTTCGAATATTCGAATCTTTGTTCTTCACATTTTCAAATCTTCAAATCTTCAAATCTTTGTCACAGAATATTTAGGTTAGAATGTATGAATGGAATCTCTTGTAGTATATAAGAGAATATGTACATGTGCAATTATTTAAAGGATTATCTAAATTATTGGGATCCTTTTAATTAATTTATCCCGACTAAAATACGAATAATTATTAAAACTAAATGGAGTACTATATTCGATTCATTGGAAAATTGCTCAAAACGGAAAGTCAATAAAATTCGAGATTAGTCCAACAACATTTAAAAGTGGTCTATATAAAATTTTAATGATGACAATTCAGGTACCCATTTAAAAAATCATTACATCATTTTTGATTTAGATTTAAATAATTCAACTACATCATTCTGATTAGACCATTTCGGCAAAGATATTGTACCTTAAGGATACATAAAATCTACCAATTTTAATTTCTACACGGCTTCTAGATATAAATTTACAAGTGCTAGTTATGTCACTAAGAAAAATAACATACGAAGTAATTTACAAGAATGAAAAACAAAGTTTATTTAGTAAGAAAACTAGAACAAAAATTACTATGCAAAGCAATTGTTTGAGCACTCTTGATGTGTTAATTAATTATCAATTGAATCACTTCTTGTTTTCGTATCCGGTTGCAATAACTATTGCATTCATTCATACATTCTAGCCAAATGAATATTCTTACAGTCTTACTTGAAAGGAAATTTTGTAAATGATATTTTGGTTTTCATTTTGTAAATTAAGCTATTTCATTCTTGCAGCCGTTATCGTGGTTACAGGATCAAACAGAAGAGCGGCAAACTTCAAATTCATTTGTGTGGAGTAAAGCTGCAAAAGGATCAAATAGAAGAAACTTTTGTGTTTCTTCTCCCTTCGCTCTAAAGGGTAAGGAAATGGAAAATATGACCAACTCCTTGGATGGAGACAGAAAATGTGTAGGGGCAGAAGAAGTTCCCGGAGAAATCGAATTCGGGATATTCTCAGCTTCCGAATTCGACCCGGCACAGTTTCTGAAAGCCATAAGAAGGCAAGCTGTGGATACTTATATTCCACTACCAGCCAGTACCACTGGCATTGCTCAATTTGCAGTTATGAAAAACTATGTTTCTGCCTTTTACTCTTCTCTCGGGCACAAACAACTATCTTTGAACAAGCTCACGGCCATCAGACGAAAAGACGAGGGCAGTGATGGTACTAATAATGATGTTAAGGATGGAGAAGGAGAAGAGAAGGCTGCAGGGGAGAACTGCAAAGAAAACAATGGGGAAAAAACTGCTGAAGTAAGAGCAAGAAAGAAGAGCAAATACCTTTCCTACCCCTACATCAACCGTTGGGACATGAGGGGCTCAACTTCCAAAGATCCCAAAGCCTCTTCTAGGAACAATAGAAGAAGCATCATCAAGCTGAGCAGCATGGATAGTAAAGAATTTGAGAGTATGTTGGTCCATACATCTATGGCTAAAATGCTCACAAAACTACAGTTGACTGCAGTGGACTTTCTTTACCCTCTTAGAAGGAAACCCGGTTCTGCTTCGGCTATGATGATGGGTTTCTTTTATAATTTCAGAAAACTCATGTTCTTAAACATGGAGCAGGGGCCAGAAGGAGAAACGCTAGTAACAGCCATCTGGGATCAAACCGGTCAGGAAAGTGGAGAACAGAACAAATCATGGGAAGAACCAGAAATAGCAGCCCCCCGGAATATTGATGGCCAGCCACCTGCTGCGGAACCAGCAGCTGACCCCAAGAAGAGAAATGGAAAGGAGAAAGAGCCCGCACAAAAGAAGAGGCAGAGGAGGAGGATCAATAATGATCTCTCTGCCAGAGGAGTAAGCACACTTCTCTTGAGCTTTTTCCCCGGCCATCCTCTCCCTTCCAAACAATCTCTGGTTTCTGCATTTGTTGAGTTTGGTCCAGTTTTGGAGCCCCTGACTCAGTTCACCAGCGAATCTACTGCTCGGGTGATCTTCTCTCAGGGTGATAGTGCAGAAGCAGCCTTTAAAGGCTTAGAGAAGAGCAACCCGTTCGGGCCTGTTCTTGCCACCTTCCGAGTACTGAGTAATAGCCCAGAAATGGCAGCCGAAGGGGCGAGTAGCAGCAGCACCCGAACAACGTCAGATGTCGTCCTCCCGCCTGTAGGCACTACTCCAAATCTCCATGATATGATGTACATGAAGAACAAAATGGAGATGATGAGAGATACCTTGGAGAGGGAAGGTCACACAATAGATCCGAAAATGAGGGCAAGACTAGAAACCGATATCAACGCCTTCCTCAGCCGGTTGAACTCAATGATGGCTTCGTCTTCTTTCTCCTAGCAGCGTAGTACCCTGTATAATTGTGATAAGTAGGAAGAGTAATACCGAATATAATTGTGATTTGGTCTGTTTCAATTCTATCTGTTTCTTTGTTTTTACATCTTGGTGCCATTGTTTGTCTGGAACAATATATTGGGTTTTGCGTTCCTGAATACAGCATTATATTTCAGGTCTGATGTAATGTTTGCAAGTATTATGGGATCTACATACGTTAGTAACACCAACTCACCAAATAAATGTAAATGTGAATACGTTCCCTGGTTCCTTACTTCCTTATTTTGTTGATCGTGCATGATATGTCTGCGGCTTTTCCTACCAAACTTAGTACGAAGTATTGGTATTGATTATCTTCTTTTCAATGTATTTTCTATATATTTGTGTAACACAAAAATGAACAACAATCTGCATTTGCTCAATGGTAAAAGAAAATTAAATGCAAACTTGAGTTAGATAATGACATGAGGGATGAGTGTGAATTCTTTCTTAATCTTTCTGTATGGGTATGTTTGACACAACTAGCTGAAACGATATTTTTATGAGCTTTTTAGCAACGGTTAGCTTTTAGTGACTGAAAAGATCTTAAAACGAAAAGGCAGTAGCTGTTTGGTAAAAAGTTGACTGTTTGTTTAGCTATGTTTGGTATAGCAGCTGTTAGGACTAATTAATGCTAGAAGCTACGGACTTATCTGAGATTCTACTCACTGTAGCATCTCAAAAAAGATCTTTTATTTTTATAAAAGCTCTTAAAAATTTGGCGTGCCAAACATACAACTAGAAGCTTTTAAAGACTTTTTAAATAGTACAAAAGCTAGAAGGAAGGAACTTTATGCAGGAGCAAATTCCCTCACGTTTTTCTCCTGCCACGGTGTTTGATGAGAACTCTTTTCCTGCCTATAGGAGACGTGAGTCAGGGGTTACTGTGCAGGTGAGAAACCATTACCTAGACAATTGTTGGGTTGTGCCTTACAACACACACTTACTTCGCAAATACGATTGCCACATAAATGTCGAAGTTTGTGCAAGTGTGAAATCAGTTAAATACATATACAAGTGTGTGTATAAGGGGCACGATCGAATTAGCATGTCGTTGTCAGGGGTAAGGTACGTTGAGATCATTGATGAAATCAGTGATTTCCAAAAAGCACGGTGGGGTTTCTTCCCCTGAAGCTGCATGGCGGATATTTGGTTTTCCAATTTCAGAAATGAAACATGTTGTTCTTCAGCTGCAAGTGCACCTGGAAAACTCCCAATACCTCACCTTCTACGACAACCAGCGTATCACTTACATCACTCAATCTGCTGATTCATTGAGCACAATGCTAACACAATTCTTTGCCATGAAAGGTTTTGATCAAGTTGCAAAACATTAAATCTGCTTTACGTTGAATTTCCCCACTATTTTGTGTGGTCTGCCCAACAAAGGAAATGGACTCAACGTAAGAGGCGGGAAGTCCTTGGTAGACTTGTCTCTGTCAACCCTATTGAGGGAGAGTGCTATTATCTTCGCCTATTGCTTGCCAATGTGCGCTCACCAACTTCCTTTGCAAACCTGAAAAGCATTGATGGGACGACAGAAGCTCCCACATTCAGGGCTGCAGCTGAATGTCTAGGGTTATTGTGAGGTGACTTCGTTATACAAGCCTCACTTGATGAGGCTGCAGCATTCCAACTTCCGACCAGCCTGCAGAAACTATTTGCCACACATTTGTGCTACTCAGATGTCCCTAATCCACGTGCGTTGTGGGGAGAATACAAAAACACTTTGTGCGAGCTGAGGACTTTTCGAGGTTTCAAGCTCATGCGGAAGCTGAAATAACTACACTAAACCTACTGCATGACATGTTTGCTGAAATGGGAAAGGACATTGACTCTTTTAAACTGGTTGATGTGGATCTCAGCGTACCTGTAACTGAGGGGAGCACCCGTGAAATTTGAGTAAAGCATAACATCATTGTAAATGATGCAGACATCAATGGCATATAATCATTGAATGATCTGCAGTGGTCGTCATTTGAGACTATAATGGATGTTGTACATGCACATGAAGGTGATGCATTTTCGTTGATGGCCCTGGTGAAACTTGAAAGAGTTACTTGTATAGATGCTTGATGGCTGCCACCAGAACATATAAATGGATAGCGCTTGCAACTGCCATCTCGGGCATTGCTGCATCTATATTGCCCGGTGGGCGGACTGCACACTCGCGCTTTAAACTGCCTCTTGATGGGGAGGACAAATACGTTTGCAACATTGGCAAGCAGTCATCAGAGGCTAGGTTACTTCGAGAAGCAAGGCTCATTTTATGGGATGCGACATCTATGGCTAACCGCAGGGTTGTTGAAAGTATGGATACAACATTTAGAGACATTCTAGGTATAGGTACTCTCTTTGGGGGGTAGTGTTATGGTATTCGGAGGTGATTTTAGACAAACATTGATTGTTGTTCGATCGGGGACAAGGTAGGACTTTGTAGACGGGTGTCTACTTAGATCACAAATAATATGGCCACATGTGAACCAGTTGCGTCTTGTCGTTAATATGCACGCCCATGAAGATACTGGGTTCAACAACTACTTGATGCGCATTGACAATGGAACTGAATGCGCTGTCACACCAGGCAGGATCAAAATCCCATCCACTTTTATGCTTCCTTGGATCAACAAAATTGCCTCACTTGATATTCTTTTCGCTTAGTGTACCCCAATCCACAACTATTTCAGACACATCCGTACGCTTTGATGAGCCGAGCTATACTCACTACAAAAAATACCATTGTGGACTTTATCAATTCATCCTTGATGGGAAGTTCCCTGGGGAAGATCACACATATCTCAGCCATGATGTCTCTGTGGATTCCAAATACATGCACAAGCGCTGCACAATATGACTGTCAGACCAATGAGGATTGGGGGTAGTTCTTACTTGCTTCAGGGTATGCTAGACTCTTACCCACACGTTTCAGAAACAAAACAGAACTTAAGCATAAAATAAATCACTTTGTGCTTCCATGCCTCACCTTGCCTCAGCCTGCAGGTACCTTTGTTATCCCTGATTGCCAATGATGTGCAAATTTCCCCTTGATTTTGATTTGGCCTTTCAACAATGTGTTCATTTAACATCTTCATACTTACTTGTTTTCCCTTTATAGGATGTCCATGTACTGCATGTGCTCCAATTCACGCTTGCTTGGTTTCTCCTAAACATCCCTCACATTGACAAAGCAGTATGCTCACTCATATTGCATCTAATCCTGTTTGTTTAGGTTTTGATGTTGAAATGCTATTTGTTGTTGACAACTTTAATGCACTAATGTGTGATTGACTTGTGATGTTTCGTTTAAAAATTTCCTGACTGCATACACAGACACCTATTTGAACACACTCGCCCACACACTCGCCTTAACTATGGATCTACCTTCTGGACTGGCCGAGTTGAGAAGTTTTCTTCTCATGATGACTTTGCTGAGTTTCTAATTGAAAATGATGTTCTGGTTGATACCTACCTATGTTCTGACGAGGCACATTGGAAATGTCACTTTTGATGTGTTGATGTTTGACAAAGATGGGTTTTCTATCAACTTATGTCCATCACCTTCAGGCTCATGCAACACTTCATATGACCCGGGTATATTTCCCGCAATTGCAAAGTACTTTTAACCAACACTTTCTTCCTTACTCTGCCGTATGCTATACCTCCACTAGAGCATGTTATTATCGCTTTAAGCTCTTTAACTTATTGTTTGTGTTTAATCCAATGCAATGCGGATCAGTTTCTTGTCTATGTGCAGTCCACTTTGCCCGACTTCTCGTATAGGCGGTTGTTTTGCCCTGCCACCTTTTATTATGCACCCGCACAAATTCCAAAGGTATGTCATGTTTGTAAATTCATTGCTGGTTTTCCTTGTCGTTTATCATCCCAGATTCATTTCTATTATTCGATGCAGCAAAACTATGAGACATTTTTGAAATCGTGTCGTGACAAATGAGGGCGTGTACAAGTCTTTTATGGCACAGACGATGACTACTTATTAGATGAGGAAAATGAGCTATTACATGACATTCAACTGCATTTCGATATCAACTGCCATTGCAGCCTGACCTTTTTCAAGTATGGCCATGGGAGGATCCGTTTACTCGTCATTTCACTATGTCACGTGGAGCAGCCGCCCAACCACAACTACACATACAAAATAGCCACCAAAGCATGCAGAGTCACTCCTAGCACTTCTTGATCCGTTTACATGCTGCCATCCTTTACTTGTTTTGCACACTTTCTTGAAACAACATTTGCCTCGCTTGCTAATTACTCTCAGATAGACATTAATGTACTTGCCGTTTGTTACACTTCTATGTTACGTTCTTTCTTTTGTTTGCTAATTGGGATGTACAAACAAAAGTACATTTACATTACTACATTCCATCTTTGTTGGCTGCATTATCATTATTGTTTATTTCCACATTTCATCATGGACCTGCTCATGCTCGCTTTCATTTTTTTATGAATTTTGTTATACTAATTTAGCTAAAAAAATTGCATTACTTTTGTTTCCAAATTATTCACCACCATTGGGCATGACCCACGCACAACGCACGGGCCAACACTAGTAATTGTGATAAATAGGAAGAGTAATACGGAATATAATATAATTGTGATCGATCTGGTCTGTTTCATTTCTGTTTCTTTGTTTTTACATCTTGGTGCCATTGTTTGTATGGAATAATATATTGGGTTTTGCATTCCTGAATACAACATTATATTTCAGGTCTGATGTAATGTTTGCAAGGATTATGCGATCTATATACGTTAGTAACACCAACTCACTAAATGAATGTAAATGTGAATACGCGTACCTTGGTTCCTTATTTTGTTGATCGTGAATGTCTGCCGCTTTGTCCTGAATTGATAAAATTCCAAAATTAAATGCAAACCTACTTGAGTTATATAATGACATGAATGATGAGTAAATTCTTTCTTCATATTTCTCTACATTTACGTATTTTGGATTTAGTCCAAGGTTTAAAGATAAGGTTAAAGAAGATAAAACGTTGATTTAGGGAATGTTTTGCAAAAAATTAAAAAAAAATGTGTTTTTGAGCTTTTGACTTAAAAAAAGCTGAAATTAGTGTTTTTGAGTGAAAACTTCTATTTAA